GCAAGATATTTAACTTCAAGCACTAGATCTAATTCTTGATAATTACAGTGAAGAAAGATAAAAGTGGGTTAAGGTAACCTATAAAAAAATATGATTAGCTTTGCAATGGCTAGATAAAATTTGGTTTAGTGCTTATATTATTTTTGTTAACAAAAATGTTTAGGAGCATTAGATGGTACCTACATTAGGATCCATGTCCAAAAATTGACAAACTAAGATATAGAACAAGAAAATGTGAGATAGCTACCAATGTCTAAGGGTGTGTTCACATGATTTGAGATTTATCTATGTATTGTTGGGATGGAAAGGTTCTATATCATATGCTCAAATTCTTGAGTTGTTATTAGTAGACAAAATGGCTTGAAAGTGCCTACTATTAAGTTTAGGTAATTGATACCTAATTAGTTACTTTATTCTTAACTAGTACAATTATACTAACACTTGTATATAGATATATATACATATATATAATAGGTTACTATTACTTTGTGGATTCTGGATATGCAAATACTGAATTTTTTTTGCACCATATCGAAGAACTCAATATCATTTAAAAGAGTGGGGTAATGGAAACCTTCCAAGCAACCATGAAGAGTATTTTAATATGAAGCATTCTTCTGCTAGAAACGTTATAGAGAGAGCTTTTGGATTACTCAAAATGTGATAGGCTATTCTTAGAAGGTCTTGATTTTATCCTATCAAGACACAAGTTCGAATAATAACAGCATATTGTCTTCTTCATAATTTGATTAGAAAAGAGATATCTGTAAATCCAGCTGAGGATATCCTTGGTAAGAATGGATCACTATTCATGCTAAACACATTTTCAGATGTAATTAACATGATTAAAGCTTATAATCAATGGGCTACATGGAGAGAAAACTTGGCTATGAATATGTTTAACGAGTGGAGAGCTATTATGAGACAATAATATTTTTTTCTAAAGCTAAATGGAAAATAATGAACTATTTGTGTTGTCCATTCATTGATAGTACCAATTACAAACTTCTAGCTTTGAGAAAAGTTATTTTAGTCCTTTTGTTGTTTGTCATTACTAATTGCCTTAGTAAGCCTTTTTCATTTTTTATTTTTTGGGTTAACAGGTTCAGTGTTTAGATTAGTATTGAAATTTTAATGAGATGAAAATAAACCATATAGTTTTCAATTTTCTTCTTTGTTTCTCTTTATTATTATCTAATTTTTCATCTCATTTCCCAGCAATTATTTATTAATATTTATGCAATTATTTTTTTCTTTCTGTTTTGAATTAGAATTCAAATTGCTTAGGCTAGAATTTAGATTGATTAGAATTAAGATTAGTATTGAAATCTACTTTTGTGATTTTTTTCATTTGTTTACTTTATTTTTTGATCTCAAACGGGTTTGTTCTTGCTAAGACTATATTTGAAATTTAAATGGTTAATTGATGACCGGTACATATTGTATTTGAGTTTTTGTAGTTTTAATGTAAATTGTGGTAAATAAATCACTTTGACTCATTTGTTTTTATTATTGTACATTGTAGACATTTTTTTAAACTCTGCTTCTTATCTGTTTCTCCTCAGCTCCCCCTATCCCTCTTTTTTTTCTTATCTCTCTAAAACTTAGTGTCACACTTGCTGCAATTATTTGTGGCATTGCATGCTCTATATCATGAGTTTTTTTTAGTTGGGCTGATAAAGTGTATGCATTATTCATCTTCAAGGTCATGTGAAATGTGAATGAACCTAAAATGCTTGTAGAGATCACTATGGTAGAAATTTGATTGAAAACTTGAACTCTATGTAAGCATCATGACTTTGAGAGGAATAATACTTTGGTATTACTTTTTCTTTTTTGGTTTGCAAGTTACACAATTTTGGTTGGTCAGTGTACTGAATGCTAAATTCTTATGGCAATGCTTTCGAGAGTAGTTACCATTAAGTTATTATAGTTTGCAAAAACCATATAAGTATAGGTTCAGTCATACCTTGGTGCAAAACTGCTTAGTTGATTTTAATTTATAGATGGTGCAATATGTAGATCAAATACTACGAATTTTTGGACTTTGGTACCAAAAAAAAAAGATTATATGTGGCAGTAACCTTTTGCTGCAGCTTTTAACTTTGGTTTTTTGCCTTGTTTATAGATGGACTTTGAAGAAGATTTTAGAAAGTGAAGAAAAGATTGACATTTATGGACTATGGAAGAAAATAAATGGTTTTTTTTAAATACTAGAAGAATGTGTTGCAAAAGAAGCAAGGTTAGATTGTGTTACTTTCAAACCAGAAATCTTATATTGAATCAAAACTAAAATTTTGAAGGGAACAACATGGAATTGTGTTTGACATGTTGAATTAAAGTGGTTTTGAATAAGGAATGAAGACAGAAGGTGTGTGGAAGTGTGTGGAAGTGTGTGATGGGGCTAATAGAGCAATTTTGACTACTTACTTTAAACTAATCATTATTCATTGTCCTTGGTATTGTTTTTTGTAAAGTTATATATTTTGTTTAATAAAAATGAAATATATTATGTTTCATTAGCCTTCACTCTAGGACTAGATTTATAGAAAAAAATCTGCCACCTTAATTTAGTTTTTATATTATGTTTATGGTTTAGTTTCATTTTCTGTTTCATTAGCTTTTGATTTTGATTGTCTCTATCTATTGTAAAGTCGTAAGGGAGTAAGTAAATGGGTGCATAAAGAGTTCACCTACTTTAAAAGGTTAGGTTTTTCATTTGGAAATGATCGTGCTACTAGAAAAAAAGTAAAAAAATCAGCAAATGTTATATAAGAACTTGATCGTGAAAAAAATGGTGAAAGAAATTATGACAGTGATGGTAGAGACCAAACAACAAATTCTATGAACCAAAATGCTTATGCTAAAAAGAATGTTGAAAGCTCTCGTAAGAACCATTCTGAAAGTGGTGAAGCATTGGCTGATGGCTTGGTAGAGGTGATTCACATCTTTTGGCTCCTACTTTACTAAGTCTATTGTGAAACTTGATCGCATTGCTGAAAGAATTAGATATGAAAAGCAAATCTATGATGATCAAAGAAATATTCTTGAGGAGCTTGAGAAAATGGGTTTAACTATTGAGGACATGATTGAAATCGGTATGCTAATAATGGAAAAACCCCCCAAAATGTTAATCTATTTTGAGGGTTTAAAGGAGATGTTAGAGTAGCATTTGTTTGATGTCTACTTGCAAAGTTAATATTTATAGTGGTATACATTATAAATGTGAGTTCTGTTGGAATTATTTCATCCATGATTCTACTATCAAACTTATTATTTCTGGGATTGTCACTATTGATGTTGCATTTGTTTTGAAAAATTCGTCATGATTTTACTAGAAAACTTATATTTTTGGAATTGTTACTATTAATGTTGCACATGTTTTGGGAAATTGATTTTGATTCTATTAGCAAATTTATTATTTCTAGTTCTTTATATGTTATTTGTCAAAAAAAAATTTATGTTATTGTTGGCAACAAGTAGCCCAACAAGTAATTTGTAATTCAAACTTTGATATTTTTTAAACTATAAGGTATAAGCTTTTTAATATAAAATAATATGTAATTTTATTTGAATTTATATTTATTTATTATTTATTTGATGTGTCTATTTGTTTGTTATGAGTATTTTTTTTAAGTCAAAATTATTGAAGGAATTTATCAATTAAAAGGGTATTTGAGCAACTTTTAATTAATTGATAGATGATCTCTAAAAAAAATAATTGAAAAATTATATTACTTGTAACTACATAAAAATCGAATTAGTATATAAAGAGTAATTTTGATCAATAAAAAATATCATCTTATCCTAATTTGAATATTGCATATAACAAACATGATAAATGATAAGATAATATTTTATCTTGTTCTTAATCATTACATACATCAAACATAATATAAAATAATATAATTTAATCTAATTCTATTTTTAATTTTATATTATCTTATCCTATCATAATCTTTTGTATCAAACATAATCATAATTCCAAAAGATGAAAAGGAAAGAGGGAACACCGGGGCCATTGTAAGCTTTAATGACAATCGGTGGCCAGCATTGCATGGTTCATGGCTTCCTTCGGTATGGGTGGCTGATCCTCATAAAATGCATTTTTAGAACATCAATATCGCCGACAACATGATGATACTTTGGTATGTTTAGAAATAGAGAGAAGGGATGAGAAGAGAGTAAGAGAAGGTAAGAGAGAATTGATCAAAAAATTCTTGTTTTCTTTTCATTCTTTTCCCAATTTTTTAAAGAAAATTCTTTGACAGGTTGTGCAATAACTGTTTTCCTCCTCAGTCATACAACTCATGCTAAAGTTTTGATCAGCTAAGGACAGACTCATACCACAACCAATCTAGCAACAAACTAAGTGGGCCTATTGCATTACAAAATCCTTAACCTAACCGGGAGCTTTGCTAACGTGTTTTAAAGCTTGTATCTCACATAGCTACTGTCCAACTCATACCATACTTCCACTGAAGTATGAGCTTTGAATTTTAAGACACTTGCGGATGACGTTTTCTTGTTTCCAAGTGCAGCACGTCTGGTGATTGAGGCTCATGACAATCCTGATGATAAGTTCCCGTACGATGAACAATTTAATAAACATGCTATCGAATTTGAGACTAACAATTGTCTGACACACATCCAGTCCCTTCTAGCCACTCCACGACCTATTGATTTTTCTTTTTCCAAGCAATGATAATGACATTTTCATCTTGAGCAGCTTCAAGGACGAAGAGTATTAGATAGGCAGTGGAGTCTCGTTTTGGATGTGGGTACACATGCCTTCTCACATATTGATATGAAGTATTTCGCTTGGGAAATTGCAGCAATAGGGCTTATGATTTTCCCCTTTCATCAAGGCCAGTAATCTTGTTCGCAATCCCAGATTTTTTTAGCAGACAATTAGTGCTCATTTTCTACAAGGAAAAAAAATCCAAAACATGCGGCAATTCAAAATTGGATTAACAAATAAATTAAGCCAAATGGAAGACTAACAACGAAAAGTGTCCATTTGAATTCCATTAATTTGCATCATAACATCCCAAATCATAAAAATCTAAGCCAACCCAACACAATGGCTTTTTTTTTTTTTGCCACAACACATGATGGGCTAAGTTAAGCTCTTTCTCCTCTAATCCTTCTAGCAAGCTGAATATCTTTGGGCATAATGGTAACCCTCTTTGCATGAATAGCACACAGATTGGTATCCTCAAAGAGTCCTACCAGATATGCCTCCGCTGCTTCTTGAAGGGCGGCGACGGCGCTGCTTTGGAACCTCAGATCCGTTTTAAAATCTTGAGCGATTTCCCTCACCAGCCTTTGAAATGGAAGCTTCCGTATCAACAACTCCGTACTCTTTTGGTACTTTCTGATTTCTCTCAGGGCAACGGTTCCAGGCCTGAAACGGTGAGGCTTCTTCACTCCTCCGGTTGCTGGAGCCGACTTGCGAGCGGCTTTTGTGGCTAGCTGCTTACGTGGTGCCTTCCCTCCGGTTGATTTCCTTGCAGTCTGCTTCGTACGAGCCATTTTAATTCTAAAGTTGATGAAATTGGTGTTTGGATCTCAAAAAAGTAAGAATAAACGTAGAGCAAATTATTGAACAATGAAAGAAAAAAGGGGATGGGAGTGTTAATTTATAGGCGGAAAACTGAAGGAAGCGGGAAAAAGGAAAATTTTGTTTTATTTGAAAATGCTTTAAATGGGTGAATCTGGGCCGTGGATTGGTTAGGTTATCGACAGTTGCGAGGTATCTACCCAAGGATCCGTGTGCGTTATGAAGCAACCAATAGGATTCCTTTTGAAGTTTTGAGCTTGAAGGGAATAGCAAGATGGAATCTCAACCGTTGGTTGGAGGAGTTACGGAATCATTAAAGAAGAATGACGCGGATTACAAATCCATGGATTTCCACTTTCATGTTGGGAGTCAGAAAGGCCCATCAAGAAATTGAAACCATGCCTGATACTTCATCCGCATATTATACCTCTATTGTATTTGTCCACCAACAAATTTACTAACCTTCTTTCAAAAAAAAAAAAAATTACAAACCTAACAACAGTTAGATTTTGAGTTTGCCTTTTTAAGTATTTATAGAAACTCATAGCCTCTTTAGGTTATAAGAAGCAAGTAGTTTTTTTTCTTTTACAAATTTCATAGATCCTATCTTAAAATAAGTTTGAATCACTAAAGAGTCCGTTTGGTATATTTTTGTTTTTTTTTTTCGTTTTTTTTTTTTTTGAAAATAACAGTAGAAAGCATATTTTAAAACCTTTTTTGTTTTCAAAAAATGAAAATGAAAATAAAAATTTTCAAAATTGTTGGCAGCAATGATTTTTTATTTTCACTATTTTACAAAATATGTTGTTGATTCAGACTAGGGATATAATCGATCGAGCTCAAATCGATATAGTATTAAGTTTGAGCTCGATTCGAAATTTGAAACTCGAAATTTAGTTTGAAGTTAATCGAATTTTATTTTTCTAGTTTGAACTCGACTCGAGATAAAAATCGAACTACTTGAACTTGCTCATTAGGTTCGATTAATATGTAAAAATAAGCTTGATTTTTATATTCGATAAAAATTTGATTATTTATGCTCGAGTTCAAGCTCAAGTTCGAGATATTTTATTAATTAAAATAATAAAAATATAATATGAAAACTCGATTAAGCTCACGAACTATTCAAGTCGGGTATAAGAATGCTCGAATTTGACTCAATCGATAAATCAAACTACTCGAATTCGAGCTCAACTTGACAATAATCTAGCCAAATTGGAGTTTATTTAAATCAAACCCGAATAGCTTACGAGTATTAATATATCATTTATACATCTAATTCATACCATGTTTATAAATAGGTAAATAGTATCTTTATACTATTATAATATTATATTTATTTTCATAATAAAAATTATAAATAGAATTAAATAATTTTAAAATAAAAATAATATAAAATCATAAAAAAATAAAAAAAAATTAATTAAATCAAAATTAACATATAATATTTAATATTGTATAACTAGTCTTACTAAATAATTGAATATTTAATATTAAAATAAATTTTTATTATATAATATATATTATTTAATTGAATATAAAATATATAACATATAATTAAATATTAAATAAAATATTAAATATTAAATTATATAATATTCCATAATGTATAAATTTAAATAATTTATTTAATATTTATATATTATTAATTAAATTTTATTAAATATTAATATTATTAAACATTATTAAATATAATATTTAAGTAAATAGTATTAAATACAAAAATTTTACCTAATATTATTTAAATATTTTTAATTCTTATCAAATATTTATTTAAATATATTAGTTATTTTTAACTATTTTTAAATACTAATATATTATTAAATATTTAAGAAAATATTATTAAATATTCAACCAAATATGATTAAATATTATAAGTATTTAACAAAATATTATTAACTATTGCATATTTAATATTATTAAATATAATATTTAATTAAATGTAATTAAAATAATTATATAATATTAATTAAATATCATTAAATATAATATTTAATTAAATATTGTGAAATAATATTTAATTAAATATTATATACCATTTAATATTATATTAAGGCATATTATTATTGAATACTATTTAGAATTATATTAATTTGTGTTATTATGTAACAAAATTTAATATTAAATGATTATATTTAATTATTTATATAATTAATATTTTTAATTATATTATTTAAATTTTATTTAATTATAATATTTTTAAATAAAATTATATTTGAAATAATAATATTTGTTTTCAATATATAATAGCATTACTTACCAAATATGTTTTTATGTTTTTAAAATACTGAAAACAATACAAAGACAAAATTTTGTCCATATCTCTAGCCTTCGAATAGCCATTTACAATTGAATTAAAAACTTCATTTCTAGGGGGTTAGCCCTTTTGCTATCATTTTCAGAAGCTATGTTTTGCTTCATCAACTTTTTTCATCCTACACAATCCACAAACAACAAATGAGAATGGCTTGATTGCATATTTTCTTGCTTCTCCAAAAAAGCCAACCAACTTCTCCAAAGCTAATTTCACTGTTTCATCATTCTTATAGAACCGATCAAGAAGTTAATAGAAAATCAAGGCAACTACTTGTTTTTCTTAACAGCCAACAAATAAACAGTGTAAGCATCCTTAACCTTACCCCCTTTACAAAGTCTACATATAATCTTTTCCGTTTGTTTACCATCTGGCTAGCTTTCCTCGTCACGCATCTTTTCACATACAAAGCAAGCCTAATTATAAAAAGACCACCGACACAGAGCTTCAATGTGAAATAATAAGTTTATTATTCGAGACATATCCAAAATCCCCAAATTTGTCAAACACCTCCATAGCTGCCTTTACTTTCCCCTATTTTGAAAACAAAACAATCAACTGATTAAAAACATCCACAGTCAAAACCCTATTCTCTTTCTCCCCAATATCCTTAATCAAATCCCATAAATCATAAGCATTCTTTTTACTAGGATCATTACAAATAACCTTATCAAGTGAATCAACAACAGAGGTTGTCACTTTAAACCCTAGTTTCTTCATTGCACATTTGAAAAACCTAATCAAAGGTTCAACCAAAATAAATGGAGTTTGAAGAACTTTGACATCAAAATTTCATGCAAACCTAAAGCCATAACCTCAAGACTTGACTCCATAGACCTATTAACTCTGCTTTGTAACAAATACAACGCATTTTCTAACTTGTTCCCGTCAACACATTTTCTAACTCGGGTTTCTTCTTCCTTGTCATTTTTGTCATCTTCAGGGACAAAACTATCCATCTAGGTTTCATCACCATCAAAACCCTTAAAAGAGGGAATTCTCATGGCATTAGTCTTAATCTCAATGTCAAAACTCATCCAATTGGGGATCCCCATTTTCTGCTAAACCCAGAGATAATTGGATTTGCAGAGAAATGACAGAAGAAACGATGGGTTTAAGAGAGTGAGGTTTTAGAGCAAGAATGGAAAGGTTTTCGAGTTTCAAATAGAAACTAATTCATTTAGGTTGCACAAAAATTTCGTGTTACAACCTGCATGAACCTTGTTGTTATTAATCTCCGTATCTGTTTCTCTGCGTTGTACGAACTTCCAAACTTTGCAAATGTGCAAAACCCTAACTTTAAATCTTGGAGAGGATTTTAGGTTTTTGGGAACTAGAAAAGTTGTAATATAATAAGAATTTGTACACTTTGGCATAATAAAGAAAAATAATTAGTCAAAAGGAAATCTTAAATTCTAAAACTAATAATAAGGAAAATGAATTTTTTAATTTAACCTTATGGTAAAACCATAAATAGACCTAAGTTCTTTTCCTTTCTCATTGTGATTTCTCTTCCCAGTTCCCTTTTTCTCCAGTTGTTTTTTCCTTTTGTTCGAGATTTCTCCTCTTTTTTTTTTTTTATCGTGTTATCTGTCTAGCTTGGCTTTTTTCCTATCACCTCTAGTTCCCTCCTTTTCTATTCATATTTCCCTTTTTTCCTCAACTCTTTTTGCCTGCAAAATCGAAATTGAAGGAAACAAAAGAAATTCTGATATTTTTCACTCATTTCTTCTATTCGGACTTTTTAAGCTTAATAAAGTAAGGATTGCTTTCCCTACTCTTTATATCACTCTCTATCATGATTATTTGACCTTGTTAAATTATTTGTTCTGTTGAATCCTGCAAATGGGTTTGTGAGAATTTTGATGGTTTGAAGAACTTTACATTTAGGGTGTAGGAATTAATTTGGGATACTTACATAGTATTTATATGATGTAACAAACTGATTTGGGATATGCACATAGTGCTTATAAGATGTATACATGGTTTATAAGTATGTACATAGTGTTTTTTGGATATGCACGTTTAGATATAATTATATGTACATCTCATCGTAATACCAAAATTCTAATTATTCTATATTTAAGGTTAGTTGGTTGTTATTATTATAAATTTTAATTTAAGGTTTTAGAGCCAACAAAAAGTAGATATTAGTGTTTATAGGATAGAAGAATTCATTTGGGTTATGTACTTATTATTTATAAAATACTTATTATTTATAAAATATGTACATAGTGCTTATAGGATATGTACATAGAGCTTTTTGGTTATGTAATGCTTGTATAATATCTATATCTATATATATATATATATATATATATATATATCGATAGATAGATAGATAGATAGATAGTGTTTTTGGGATATGTAGATATGTATATTTAGACTTAATTATATGTATATCTCATCATAATTTCAAATCCTAATTGATCAATTTCTATATTTAGGGTTAATTGGTTGTTCTTATTATAAATTTTATTTTGGGTTTTAGAGGTAATAAAATGTGGGACTCATTTAGTTACAGGATAAGTAATATTAGTTATAGGATATCTATATAGTGTTTATAGGATATGTACATAATGCTTTTGAGATATATATATATATATATATATATATAATAGTTATAAGATATGTACATCTAGATAGAAATACATTCATTTACTCCTTTAGAGGTATTGTTGGATGCACTTTTGTTGTTTACTAAAGTTGTTCTCCATTGAAAATTGAACTGCAACAATTTCTGCCGGATGATAATTTAATTATTTATGCTCATCCAAAAAAGCAAAGA